GCACGCGTCAACTGGACCACGTTCAACGCAACTGGCATGGCGCTAGAACTAATATAAGAGCGCTAAATACAACCCTGGGACGCACAGCGGCCGGCGACGGCCTCACCACTCTCGGCCGAGCAGGCGGGCGGATGCGAGGGGGGGGGGGGCACTCCATCGGAGGGGGAGGGGATGACGGAGGCGTGCCGACTCTCGGCGCGAGCGACAAGCTGGTCACGTGCCGCCCGCATGCCCTGTCGCCCCTTGGCAGCGGCGCGAGACCCACGCCAAGCCGGGACCGCTCGGGCGCAGACAAAGAGGCTCAGCGGAGGGAGGAGGCGGCGGCGCCCACCTCGTGTGGGCGTGCTAATGCTACGGAGCTCCAGCAATGACCGCGCCAGTGATGAGCAGTTACGACTACACCCTAACGACCAGCCAACACTCCGCAGGCCACTCGAGCTGTTCACTGTGTGCTGGGATCAGTGACCTATTGGGAGGGGGGGGGGGGGAACCAACCGTGTGGCGCCCCTGTCTCATCTAGGAAGAGGAAAAACGGGGGTAGAATGCCACTAGTGTGATGTCAGTTATGAACTGGGTAAAAATGATAATTCCACAAGTATCACAAGCCCCGTCACCGCCGCAATGAAAATTAGCAGCAGAGATCCAGCGCCAACCTGACCCCCGGTGCGTAAAACCAGTCGGAGTCGGGCCGACAAACAGCCAAATTACCAGACATGGAGAGCCAAGCCAGACCTCTGGCTTTGAAGCCGAGTCCGAGCTAAGGCAAAGCCATGAAGCTGAAGTGGAAGCCGATGACTGTGAAGTTTGGAACTGCGAGACCTAGACTGTAGCCAGTTAACTCGTACTTTTAAACGTGAAGCCGAAGCTGGACTCAGTGGTTTCCAACCTCGTGCATGCGAAGGTGAAGCCCAGTTAAGTGAATTCCAACTTAAAGCGAGGAGCTAAAGCCGAACGCACTAGTTTAGAATCCCAAGGCCGCCACCAAAGTGGAATTTAGCAACTTTCGTTGTTTTGCGAGACCAAAGCCATTTTTGCGCCTGTTTTAACTGTATGGAGTCGAAAAATATCACCACGGCTTTTTGGAACGACTGAAACTGTGTTGGGATTATACAAGACTTTTCGAACCGTCGTTCGCCGTCTTGTGTGTAAGTATAGACCTAACGTTTTGGACATTTCGTTCTCCGGCCGTCGGCAGTTTTTAATAAGTGACCAGAATGACATACTTGTTTGGCTCTCAACCATGTATACGTCGCAGCCCCGAAAATAGACGTCTATTTGATGATAGAACGGGCAGTGCTATTTTCGTAAAGCACAGCTGCGGCTGCGGAGAACAAATCGTCATGAAAAAGCCAACGCCAGCGGTTGAAGAGCGCATCAAGTCAAAACCATGGCTTTCGGGGTCGTCGATATATTATGCCACGCATGGGTTGGGTTTTTTATGGGACGTAGTCGAGGCGTAACAAGAGGGATGGGGGCAGCGTAATGCTACGCCCAGGTGAGGTTGCAAAGCATGCCCGTCCTCCCAAAAAATATCTTTAGACGTTTTACCGTAAGGCCGGATACCATTGGTTTTGTTGCATGGCGAGCGACACGCCCGTCTTTGCTTCGTACCTCTAGCTCAATTAAAGGCCAAACGGCCGTTACCTTTCTGGGACGTTGCGTTTAACGCAGCGTAACCAGGTGGGAGGGGGTCTCGCCCAGCGCGGCCAGTGCGTAACCAGGCAAACAGGGGATGGGTGGATTAGAAAATGACCCATTATGTATCCATCGTCGGTTCTTTAATTAAACCAGCCCAACGAATCCAGCTGTTAAAGGGAGCGTTCTACATTCATGTGAGGTTTTGAACTGAAATAGTCATCTTGAAGACCTTTCGGTGCTGTTCACAATCCTGCCGTCCCTTTTAGTTTCTACACCACACGCCCGCGAAAATGAGGAGAGTATTTCGGGAAGATTATTTCAGCCACCTTGACATTCGTGACGTTATACTAACGTCACCGAAATATTGTCACTCCATTCCCATGCGGCGATCAAGGCCAATAAAAATATACTTGTCGGGGAGTTCATATCTGGCGTTCGTGAGCACGATTTACAGATATTACAGCCGTCAAATGGCTCTCAATCACAATCAATGAGGATTGTGCTGTCTACAGCAGTGTTTCCCACTTAAAACATACCAATAATTATAAGTGAGCTTGTTTCATCAAATATGATGCTCGCTTCAATATCTTCAAATGTGAAACATTCCTTTTAAAAAGTGACGCGCACCCGATGCATGAGCCGTCGTGCGACTCCCGCGTGTGCGGCACGCTGGCTCAAAGCCGAGCCCGAACCCGAAGCCAATGGCAAAACTAAGGTTTGCAAAGCCGAGGCCGAAGCTGAAGCCGGAGCCGAGCCCGGTTTATCCTGCGCCGGCTCAGCACCGCACCACGTGACAAGCAGGCCGTCACACTGACACCCGGCAGTCCGGCGGGACCCACTACTGACCCGGCAGGACGGGACGGAAAGCCCGCGACGCACCGCGTCACGCCTCGGCGCCCGGCGAGCGCTGGACCGCGGCCAGCACCACAGCCGGCAAGCCCAGCCGCTGTTGGCTGCTGACGACAGACACGTGTACCGAGCGCAGCGCGGTCCGAAATGGCCGCCCAGTCGCATGGTCTGAGGTGTTTAGTGTGTGCGCTGCCATCTACCAACCGCACCATGCTGGTGCACTGATTGAAGGCAACTAAGATTTGCCTGATGCCAGACCTATCTGTCAAGTGAGTCACAACAATGTGCCTGGTGTTTGGTGTTCTGTGTATGCAGTGAATAAACTGGGCTGAATGGTACGGCACATCCCTTCATGACTGGCAATATATCTCACCAGCTACTGGTGTCAGTGGGTTGACATGGTTGTAAATCACACTAGCATTTTTCAAATTCAGAGCATATTATGATTTTAAAAATCCATAGCATATTTGAAATTCAGGTACAGTTGCCACCCAGGTTGGTGTTCTAACTGATATGGTGACAATGACAGTATTAGCCATACACTGGCATCTGGATGCATGCACAATAGGCATGACTTAGGAAGTGTCATCCTCCACACAACATAACCCTACAGCTGCTGCTCTCCTTTAGGTACACCACCACAGTGAAAACATTATTTTAATAGCCACTTGCATGGTGAATTGAGTCTTATATTTAAATTTTCTGACAACTTTTTTCTGACTTGCCATATTCTGTGAAGTTTTCCACTTAACTAAGCACTGCTGACAGGAGAAAGGGTTATCTTTAAAAAGTGCTTTCCTTGCATTATTTTAGTCTGAGCCAGCACCAAAAACAATATACAGAAGTGGCTGAATCTTGGGCACTCAGGGTTTGCTGGGTCAGAAATGTTTCGGCTGTGACCATAATTTGTGTTGCTTGCTTTTAAGGAGAGTAACTCATTTCTGTTTTGATAAATGTTGGTCCTAGGTCCATATGCAGATTGGGTTCATACAGAATACATGTAGTGTGAGATTTAACCATCAGATGCACTGTCTATGCTGCTTAGGCTAATAGAAGTTCCATGGGTGCCTAGTTTTTACTCCATGGTGGCCCAATACAAATAAACACTAACCCAATATCTGTATCAGTAATAGCATCCTAACCAGCAACAATATCTATACACCTGGCCTCCACCTAGAAAATCTGGTATACTTATTACAGATAGGGCACAAGCAGGCAAATACATACAATAAAGATCCCAATCCTATCAAAATCCAGCCATTTTCAGCATTTCAGATCCATACAATGTCCCAGCAACAAACAATAGGTACAGACTACTTTGCTTTATCCTAATGAAATGACCAAACTCCAGGATCGAAAGTAACACATTGCAAAGCTCCACACTGGACCTGCATGTCAATTTTAAAACCCGAGAAACGAAGAGCCCACATTCAGTCATCCACAGCAGGACACAGAATTGTTCTGATTCCAAGACACTAGCCCACATCCCAACATGCCCACACACCCATCATGTGGCAATGTGGCTGAGTCAACACCCATCTCCAACAAAACAATTTTCCCTTTGTTGTCCTGAGTATTTTTATTCATTTCACATACCTGAGTTTATCAAAAAACAATCATGGTTTACTGCATTTCAATATACATCCTACCTAGCAGGTACAGTCATTTCACCTCAGTGATTGAGAGTTATGCCACAGCTCGCCTACAAACCTGCTTCAGAACGAATAGTACAACGAGCGAAGGTCCTTAGATGGGTAATGCTTCAAATAAGATGATGCATGCTTCTTGTTGACATCACTTCCGATTATTATGATCGTGCCCAATGCACAGGACTAAGACGAGTCGACGTGGACCTACTAAGTTTTTGAGGGACGTCTGTACCCTGACGCCAAGAACACCGTTTGTCTCGTCTTCACCCTTCCCTTCAAAACCCAGCAAGGTTACAACTCCCAGGAAAAACGGGAGCACGCACCGCGCGCCCACAACCCCACAGCGTAGCTCTGAAACTGATGCCTGCGAGCGCCGGCGGGCAAACTCGACCTGATATTTTTGGCGCTATGACGACATGTGCTATCTGTGTAAAACAAGATCTCTGGGTCCGGATTGGTGGTGAGTATGACGTCATAGGAGGTCGATACCACGATGATTCATTCTGAATCACTGGGCCCCAAAAAACATTCTATCTATGCTATAATGGCTAGATATCTGATCGTAAGTATCTTCGCGTATTTCTATCTTCTAAAAATATTTTATATTAAAATTTAAAATTTCGGCACAAATACAATGAATACAATGTTGATTGATACATATTTTCGTAAACAATAATTTTTGCCAAAATAAAATAAGGAATTATCGGGGAAGTATTTTAAGGCAGCGCAGGAATACTTTTCCTTCAGCTCGCTACCATATATAATCTACAAAAACGGAGCATGTGATACAATATGTGCGCATTTTGATGCAAGCGCCCATGCCTTGGTGTGATAACGTGGACAACAAAGCACACAAATCTCGCTCACCGACCTACGCAACAGTGGCGCAGTTGGCGACGAAGCACCTTTGTGGACGTGGAGTACTGGTTGCAGCCGCTTGAAGGACTGTGTAGGTGGGTTTGCGGGCAGTCAGATCGCATTTGTGGTTGCTGATCGCGCAATCTACGAGATGCCTTGCTGTATGTCATGACTTGTAATTGCAGTCGTCCGTGAAGCCTTGGCATTTTATGCCACGAACATGTGTACCATGGCTCTAAGATTGTTTTTTGACGATGGAAAGGGTACTTCCAGCTGACGTATGATAGATCCTGGTACTTTGGGCACAAGGGCCAGAATATATGTTAGGCCAAGAACACATATTCATGAAAGTCCATATCAGTTCAGAAGCCTGAAAATGATGTAACATGATCACATATATCGACACAGATGAAATTGCAAGTAGCATGAGCAGATGATGTTACCAGCATATCAACCAATGACTCCAATGCAGACATTGCCAATTGAAGAAGACTGTTGTCATGGTCAGCAAAGCTAATGTGTGAGACCAGTATGTTGGTAACCTTATGGTGGGCAGGCAGAGGGTGACAGATTTCACTCTTAACATACTAGCACATACTAGCACAACAGCACATAGCATGTAGATAGCATACTAGGACAATTACATGTGTGTCAGATGGCCATGGAGCCATTTCAGAGTACTCAGGTATGTGGTATATATGTACCAAAGTTGCTCAAATTGTTGACATAGCATCACCCTCTACATGCAGATTCCAAAACATACCTGCTTTGCCAAACACACTTGACATATAGTGGGAATTTGTCATAGGTAGCAGTGCAGCAAAAAAATTGTGTGCACACCATTCCTCATGTGCACACACCATTATGCACCAGTTTTTGAGTGCTCTGAGTTTGTGCACATGGTTGCCATCAGCTTCAGTGCATAGGGAGCTAATGTATCAAGGAATTGTCATGTTTCTAATATAATTTTAGGCAAAATACCCTAAAAACACTTTCAGAATGTGCAGCAAATTTGAAAATTAGGCACAAGGTTACCTGACCTAAGTTCAGCATGTGAGAGCTCCAAGTTCAGCTCACAGATATTGCATAGATGTTTAGTACATTGAATGGATGTGTGCAGACTGACTCTGCACCAGACAAGACATAATCTATTGTCAACATGTTTAGTGGAACTTGTATTTTTTGCAGACTGTTAACCACTTTTTAAAGTTATTTCATGCCTATATATTATATAGACCTGATATGTCACATAGATATGTTGTGTTAATTGTTTTAACTAGCAGCACTGATATAAGGGACAATGTATTGGTAAATCTGGTGAACACATAAATTACACTCCTTGTGAGCCTAGGAGTTCCAGAATGCTCTAAGTGCCTGTCTGCATCCACTGTTCATCAGGGATTGAAACTTGGTTTTAAAAAAAACTTGAAACTTATTGTGGGCCTTGATCTTTCAAGAGTTCAGTTCAATTTTTCAGCTGCTCTGTGATAACTACTACAAGTTAGATCTTGTGGAAGGCAAAATCAAACAGGTCATTAGCAAGCACCATCAATGGGGCATATTCAGCCAATAGGACAATGTCAGTCAGGACAGTTACAGGTGTTTACCAGAACTCTATGTCATCAGCTGTTGAGAAAGCTAAATTTGTTCTGCACAAGGTCATTACAGATAATTGTACTCTGCTGGTCCCACTGACTGCCTATATTATATATGCCATGAGTGCCCACTCATCAGTCATCTGGTGAGAACAATATTGAGTCTCAAACTTACTTACTCAGGTCAACTAATGTAGGGTATGAGTTTAATTAGGCTGCTGGTGATTGTGTGTACCATCCGAGCTCTACCTACATCGGCCACGCTACAACAATGTTGGCAGATAGACAACCAGCATGTACAGGATGGAGCCACCTTGCAGCACTTGACAACAACCCATCATCAAAACCTAGGACAACCCATTATCAAATCCCCACCAGATAGATAATAACAGAAGACATGATCATCACCTGGCACTCAGCAAGAGAAAGCTTCAGATCCAGGCATTGTCTACACTGTCATACAGACCTGTCATTAATTGCCACCTGATGGTTCATGGGACACTGAAGCTCTTTGATGGAACACCTCCCCATGTAGGCTATAGATAGGAGAATGCTAAGAAAAGTTTTTGGGTTGTGTCTTTTTGGGTCCTCGTTTCAAGCTGCTGGAACTCTTCAGGAAATGTGCATTTTATATCATGAGCTGTTAATTACCTGTCTGGGTAGTGTACCTTACAAACAAGTGTAATACTTGCATCATAATTTTTTCCTCATCTCTCCTAATTGTTTGCCAACTTTACCCAGTTTTAGCAATACTATGTTCCCTTATCTAATCGCAGCTTGTTAACATAAGCACAAGTAGCCAGTTGAAAGGTGACATGCCCACTGGCCAACAAGGTCAACTGGCTGGAGGGATTAAGTTGCCCCTGTTCACAAGATTTTAAAACTAAAAGGGCTAGAAACACCAAATTCACAATGTATGCAACCATGTATGCCGACCCTTTTTGCCAAATTTTGAGATTCCTAGGCCGTGTCCTTCATCTCCAATAAGACCAGACTCCAGATTGGTATCTGAAGTTCTTCCAGAACCCCTCATGCAACCATCTGTATTCAAGATACCTGTTCTAAGTCAACATTTACTAGTGTTCATTTTGGGTCAGTGACCTTATTTGATCTTTATATGGTCACAGAGGCCAAGAATGTGGGAGATTGTTTTAAATTCTGAATTGAGATCAGCATGAAGGGTTGGGTTAGGTGGGATGTGCCTAAAAACAAAACATCAGGGTCAGGGTTGGTCTAGGTCAATGACCCTTTCTGACCTTTAATAAGCCCAAAGAAAATGTGTTGATGCTCCTGTGATGAATAAATTATAAATGAGCATACAGTACTAGCTCATGCAACAAGTTCTTCAGTGACAAAGCAATTTAGTTTTGACCTAGGTCTGACCTTTATACCTGACCCAAGGTCAACAAAATTATTTAACCTCTAGTTTAATCAGTTTATTGTCTAAGAAACTATCTCAGAGATACATGGGCTCATCAGGCACTCTGTTGTCCCCTCAGATTGAGTGGTTCCCAAGGAATTGCCTTTGCTAACAATCATGGCCTGACTGACCTGCCATGGATCATTGCCTGTATAAGGTACACCTAACTTTTGTGCTAAAAGATCCGCCATTCAATCACCTACAACTTTGCAATGCTTACCATGGCTTTGCTGCCCCAGTCGGAAGTTATTCTGGGAAAGCTGTTGGAACAGATAATTAGCCCCCATCCATCCAAGTGCATGTTTAAGTAATTCATATTCGTGATTTCCATCTGTATGTTATTATGTATATTTGTGTCCCTGTACGAGACGTTTGGGACGGCTAACGTGTAGGCCTCAATGGCCAATGGAACAACATTCTATCACTTTTGCTCATCATGGTGAAAATAGCTAGCCCCTGGAAATGTGATGTTGTTGGCTGCATATATTGGTGTGACTTTTTTAATCAAATTATCTGTTGTGACCTTGTGTTTCTATAACTCTATGTGCTTTGATATTGTAGGTCCAGTGCATTTCTAGAGATTATTGTAAGGTCCCAAAAAGCAAGCAGGCCAAAGCTCTCCATGGGATGATGATTTTGACACATCTTCATAGCATTTATGATGAACTTGCACACAAAGTGAATTGGTCAAAGTTCACATGACCACCAAAGGAGCTGACCCTGGTGCCTTTGCATTACAAAATACAGGACTACCCAGTGTCATTACTATTACCTAGCTATGAGGCAGCGAATGGAAACAAACCAGCTGAAATATCGCCATCCATTGTTGGTGAGGCATGCACCCGCTAACTTTCGGGGACCTGTGGAATGACTTGTGCAATTTTTAACTAAGGTATCTCATTTTAAATTCAGTTGACATGGTTTCCTTGTTCTTGGAGGAAGCACCATCAACTTGTTTTTGCTGGCTGTTGGACATAAACAAAATGAACTTCATGTTTCTTACCAAGTTTCACAGTTTGATATCAGTATATTATCATGTTATCAACAAGATGCATGGCCAAGATGCATGATCAAGTGTTGGACCACTATGAGATCATTTGAATTTGACCCAGCAGTAGATGTACAGCAGTTTCACCCAGAACCTCTTTTGGATCAGACTGCCACACTCCATCGCACTGCCTTACAGGCACCTGTGCTTCTGCTCATCTGGTCACAATTCTGCAATTTGGCAGATGAAGCATGACATGGCCTGCGTGTGTCCCAGGCTGTGGCGGGGTCAAATCGCATCTGCTTGTGTGGCAGTCAGGGTTGGCTGCATCACAGTGGCTCGCTTGTCATTTGGTCAGGCTGTGCGACCATACCTGTGTACCCAGGACGGGAAACTCGACATCACTGTGGTGCTCCCAGGAAGGGGCTCTACTTTGACTTAAAGAAGGAATGCCCGTTCCTGGCATGTGTTGGTGCCATTTGTTTTGTTATGTGGCTCACCTGATATGCCTGGATAATGCGCATCCTTTGCTTTGTTTGGTGAAGGAAGTTGAAAAGTTCTGATCCTTTTTTTGAGCAACGTGGTTGAGATGCCTTTTTACCATTAGCGCGATATTGATATCCTCTATGACAGAAGCGCGACTGGCGGTCTGGCAAAAAATCTGCCGCAGCAAAAAAGAACACACACAAACAAATGTGCTGGCGAGGTGTGGTCTCGCCGTAGGTGTGCTAGCATGCGATGTAGTAACCTCGGTGACTCCAGAAACGGGAGGCACCGGCGGGAAAGGGCTCAGGCAGCGAGGTGTGACGTCACCTCTGTCTGCCCCGGCAGTGACGGTGTGACGTCATGGCGTCGGAGGAGGTGTTCGAGGACTGTTGCAGCTCGGCCGACGAGCTGTACGAAGACTGTCCGAGCGGCGCGGACTTAGCGGCCGAGCGCTGCGCCAGCCGGCCCCCGGCTGCGCCTGTGGGCAGCCGCGTGTCCGCGCCTGTGGACAGCGGAGTGTCCGCACCTCTAGACAAACGAGTGACGTCCCCCGGCGGGGCCGCCGAAGAGGCGGCGGTGCTCGTCACCGCGGACGGTGCGAGCGTCGACGAGGTGCGCGACTCGTCGGCGTCGGAGGGAGAGCGCGACGCCGGCGACCGGTCGGCGCACGGCGACTGGCACGTTCTGAAGAACACCACGCCGCCTGGTGACGCCGCCTCGTCCGACGAAGGCGACGCCTCAGAGTCCGACTCGGCCAGCCGTCTGGCGGCCGGGGACTGGCACGTTCTGGCGCCCGGCGCGGGCGCCGCTTCGCCGCCGGCCGGTGACGCGCGGTCGCCACGGACCGCGGACAGCGCGGCGGACCTGAGCGTGTGCAGCGGCAGTGCACAAAAGCGGGCGGCGGACGGTGACGTCACGCGAGAGAGCGACGGCGACGACGAGGCCGAGCTTCTGCCGGATCCGGACGCTGTAGACGAGGAGGCGCTACGATTGCTGGACGAGTCGCAGCCGGCGGCCGAGCGCGAGGCGCGCCGCGCGCGAGCCGCCGACCTCAAGGCCGAGGGCAACCGGCTGTACGCGGCTGAGGGGTACGACGCGGCACGTGAGCGGTACACGGCAGCGCTGCGGCTGTGCCCGCTGGCGGCCTGCCGCGAGCGGGCCGTGCTCTTCTCCAACCGCGCCGCGTGCAGGGCGCGCGCCGCCGACGAGGCCGGCGCGATCGCCGACTGCAGCCGCGCGCTGGAGTTGGACGCCGAGTACGCGCGGCCGCTGCAGCGCCGCGCCGAGCTGCGCGAGCGCTCCGAGAAGCTGGATGAGGCGCTGGAGGACTGGAAGCGGCTGCTGACGCTGCAGCCTGGCCATGCCGAGGCGCGTCGTGCCACCGCTCGCCTGCCGGCGCAAATCGCAGAGCGCAACGAACGGCTCAAGGACGAGATGCTCGGCAAGCTCAAGGATCTGGGCAACATGCTGCTTCGGCCGTTCAACCTCTCCACGAATAACTTCCAAATGGAGGAGAACGAGGCGGGCGGGTACTCGGTCAAGTTCAACCCCACGTGAGGGGGGGGGGGGGCACGGCCGGGCGGAGCGCGTGATGACTTGAGCCCGCCCGGCGGCGGCGCTGTGTGGACGGGGACGAGTCCTGTTCCACCGCGAGCCGTGGCGGGCAGGGGTTGCCACGGAAATCTGTAGGTAGTCTCGGTGTGTGTTTGGGGTCGGATGCGCGGGTCGCACTTTCTCGGACAGTGCGGCTCACGTGTGTGTCGGCGCTTGCCGCCCGTGTGACACGGCCGCGCGCGCCGAGAGACCTGTATCAGCTGACAGCTTTGTTCGTGACGTCAGACGAGGCTGGAAGAGTGACAGGGGTCCGCGGAAAGGATATGGAACGCCTTGAGTTTGGGCTGAAGCTGGTGTTTAGGAGGTGATCAAATGTATCGTGCATATCCAGTTTAGTTTAGTGCTTAGTGCGTCGAAACGATGGTAGTCGCAGATAACGAACGTTTTGTGAACTGCGTTTGGTCAACGTGCTTAAAACCGTCTATAAATGTTTATTTTGGCATGGTTGAGCAGCAATAGGACCGCATTTTGCGACGCCAAGTCTCAGTTCGGAACGCCGAAAATATATTTGTGTGTCGTAGCGGTTAGCCTGGCTTGAGCCTGGCCACGAGGCACGAGTACTAGTCGGAAATCAGGCCCGATGTGAAAGCGGCTGTGGCGATGCGCCCGAGGCCGCTGGATTGCCGATGTTGACGATTTGTCTTCTTCGTGTGTGTCTGAGGTACTTGCATAAACAGACCATTGGTGCAAATGTGGTGTGCTTGTCGCCCGGTGGCGCTGTTTTTCGGTCATACTGGACCACCTACCCATATAGGTTCTTCTCAAGATATGCTCATGCTAGTATCCTGTCCGGTATCGTGGATATCAGCAACAGTTTGGGTGGCATGTTTCTTTCGGGTGGGCTGCCCGAATTATGTTTATGCTACCGTGAAGGAAATCATGATGCAGACCGGACGGTCGCGGGAAGGCATTAAAAACAAAAACAAAAATGAAACAAAAGGGATATTGTGCCACCACTTTGGATGGCAAGACAGGTCGCGTGGCACGAACCAACCCACCTTCCTCGTTCAGTGTGGCGCGTTGGTTCACTGAGACAAACACGGATGGTGCTGAAATGACACGCGGACGATGTCTGATAACACTCCCACCCTCTTTCCTCTGTTCGTGAGATAGACGCGGGGACAGTGAACGGTCTGTAGCCGGATGGTCTCCCAGTATGTCTCCCGCTTCCGGGGTTGTCTCGTCGCCAGATGGCTGAGCATCCGCTGCCCCGGCAGATGGTCACCGCGTTCAGCTGAGGCTTCGCAGACGCTGTCGACATGACCTCGGCGCTGGCGGAGCTGTCTGAGGCACTGGCCAATGTTGAGCTGACCGTGCCGGCCGCCCCTGCCCGCTTCCTGCGCCTCGAGTTCCTCGAGGACGCGCCTGAGGAGGCGGCCGCCGCTGCCGGGGACGCGACTGGCGGCCCGAATTCGGGCGGCGGCGCGCTGCCGCTGGCCGCCGGGCCCGTGTGCCGCGCGCCGGTGTTGGAGGCGCGACTCCTCACTGCCGCCGGCGCGCTCAAGGACGTCTGGTCGGTGACGCTGGACGTCGGCGGGCTCGACGCGGTGCCGGCCGCCGGCGACACGGTCGGCCTGCTCTGTCCGAACGCGGCCGATGAGGTGGCCGCCGCGCTCGACCTGTTGGGCGCGGAGAGCCGCGCCGACCGGCCCTGCCGCCTCTCACTGCTGCCTGGCACCACGAAGAAAGCGGCGCGCGTACCGCCCCACCTGCCGGAGCACGCCTCGCTTCGCCACCTGCTGACGCACTGCGTGGACCTGCGCGCCGTGCCCAAGAAGCCTCTGCTGCAGGCGCTGGTCGGTCACGCGGCCGACCAGCGCGAGCGGCGCCGGCTGCGCGAGCTAAGTAGCCGCCAGGGCGGCGGTGAGTACCTAGAGCTAGTACGTGGCGCCGGCCTGGGCGCCCTGCAGCTGCTGCAGGCGTTCCCGTCGTGCCGGCCGCCACCGGAGCTGCTGCTGGAGCAGCTGCCGCCGCTGGCGCCGCGACCCTACTCGGCGGCCAGTTCGGCGCTGCTGCGGCCCGGACGGCTGCGCCTGGTGTTTTCGGTGGTGGCGGCGCCGCGGCGTGGTCTCTGCACCGGCTGGCTGGACGCGCTGCTGCGCGCCGACGCGCCGCCCCCGCCGCTGCGGCTCTACCGCCGCCAGCCGGGCGGCTTCCGCCTGCCGGAGCGCGACGACGCGCCGCTGGTGATGGTGGCCGCGGGCACTGGGCTGGCGCCGCTGGCCGGCTTCCTGGAGGAGCGGCGCGCCCGTGGGCAGCGCGCGCCCGCCTGGCTGGTGTTCGGCTGTCGGCACCCGGAGCTCGACTTCCTGCTGCGCGACGAGCTGGAGGCGGCGCTTCGCGATGGCTTCCTCTCGCGACTGGACACTGTCTTCTCGCGCACCGGCGACCGGCAGCGCTACGTGCAGCACGTGCTGGCGGAGGAGCAGGCGCGCCTGGCCCGCTGGCTGGTTGACGACGGCGCCGTCATGTACGTGTGTGGCGACGCCAAGGGCATGGCAGTGGCGGTGCTGGACGAAGTGGTACAGGCCGTGGCGAAAGCTAAGGAGGTTCCTGTATCTGAGGCAAAGAAGCAGGTGCAACAAATGCAGAAGGACGGGCAGTACAGATTAGATGTTTGGTCTTGATAATGTTCCCACCGGTAGCCCGGATGGCAAGCTGTGTGGCTCGGATTATGGCTTAATCTGAACATAATGTGTGACTGCCGTAAGCTGGCTCGCAAATGCCTTACAATTTCCCGTAAGTTTTGTGGACCATCCAGCCAAGGACCGTCCAGCTTTGACATGACATTGAATCACAATGTCAACATCGATTCCGAAATACAAATCATGAATGCGGCAAATGTTTATATTCTTAAGAATGCTCTTTTCTGTCGTCATTGACAGGGTATACAATAATTCCATGAAAGAATTAATGATCTGGGAAATTAGATTGCATGACCTAGAAGCGGCGGAAGTACTACCCCGAAAATTCGCCTACGGGATTTGACTCCGTTTTCTCAAATTTTTTTGGCTGGGACCATGTTCTTGGAGGGGCGCGGAAGCTTCCTTCCCCTTTCCCAACTTAACAGGAAACTACATCGCTACTTACACCAAAATCGAACATGTACCGTTTCCCGCACCTTCAATACTTTCCATGTTTTCCTGGCGTCGTAACGAGCCAACTTCCTTACTCTGCAATCCTGCCAGGTCCCTGATAGCCTAGAGGCCCCCTAATGTCCGTACCGGTGGCTTGTTTCGTTAGAGCGACCCACCCACCCGTGGCGGGGTGGGTTGGATGCGTATTGAAACGTCCGGAGTTCACAAAGTCCAGTGCTCAAAAAGCCCAGAATCACAGCATCCAGCGTTCATAAGGTCCGGTAACGTCCAAAACCCTGGACAGAGGAGAATGATAAAGTCCAGTGTTCATAAAGTCCACCGTGCGTGAGATCCGCGGGTTGGGATCTATCCCACCTCCCCGCAACCCTTCACCTAATGGTTCGGATATTGCCCGATAGAGGGCTACCGGAACCGACTTCGCCCGCCTCAGCCGACGAGTGAAGTCATGCGGTGCAGTGCTACTCAGTTAAACCACTGTGCATGGATATGGACAACGTTTTGTTTGAACGCACAAACTTTGCCGCGTCAGCACGCCCTTGGCGGCAGGCGCATTAAATAATTCAAAACTTTGATCCCTGGCTCGTGCCATCGGAAATAGCTGGCTATTCGGCAGCGGCTGCACGGTAATCGTGGAAAGCACTTGTCGGATTGCCTGCTGTTTGGTATTATGGGCTATGGATAAGATTATCCGCGGTATTTGGTTCCGTTATTTACTGCATGTGTTGGTGATGTTTCTCATTTTTTGAAGGAAATGAAGACTGATATGTAAGGCTGACTGATTTGATATCTGCTCCAGGTAGGCGCGCGTATAGATCTCCAGCTCCTGGCATATATTGTTAGTGATTTTATTTGCCTGATTTCCCTCCCTCCTCCAATTACACATTATTTCACACGCTCCTGCAAACGGGACTTATTCTTAATTATACATGTATTTACTCTCAAAGAGATGGGGTGGGGCTGTCTCCTCAGCTGAACCCGGATACTACTCCCTGGTGAAACACGTTCAATGGCCCAGCTTACTCGTTTCTTCGATTAAGCACGTTTTAAACCGGCGTGGTTTACGAAAATAAGGTGGTTGGCTGGGCGATGAAAACACAACGAAGAGTACCGTGATAATATACCAATGAATTGGTTTCTCTCCGAATTTGGCTCAACCGCGCTCAAAGGCGCTGTTGATTCACCATCTGTGCAGCGGAGCCGAGTGTATATCACTGAGCTGGTTTGCGATAGATAAGCTGAATGAATTGGGAGAATCATGAGCTTGTATGCGCCATCCACTTCATTAATTTTGACACGCTTTCTTCCTTTTACGCTTCAGAACCTCCAAGTGTAGAATTTCGGGTTCAGCAACACCAGTCTGGAGTTTATCGAGACGGGCGCAGTTCACCCGCAGGGGGGCGATGGTGGCATGGTGGTTAGTGGTTAGGGCGCTCATCTCTTGACTTTTCTATCCTGGGATGGAGTCCTAGCCACACCACTACAGCATCCCACGTACCCAATGCCTGATAAATGCGTAAAAGAGGCGTACCACCTCGAAATAGCCATAGCAGCCGGTGAGACGTCAAGCCCCAATTAGTATTGCATGCCGCCCCGACAAACCAGCCGCCGCCCGTCAAATTTGCAGATAATGCTTCCTCTCAATCACTGTATATATGTGGGAATGATAATGTGTAATCGGTTGGACGCGGAGCTCGGACATACAGGCCTGCCCAGAGGCTGCCCAGCTCGACGGTCCGGCCGGCAGCCACGCTCGCGGCGGGCCGGCGGACGAGGCAGCCCGGCCGCCAAAAAAAGGACGCATTCACGCGCGCGCCGTCCTTCGCCCAAGAACCAAACCCTGCCACACGCGCGCGAGGCCTGTTCGTGGGGCTGCCCGTCCGCGTTCGAAACGCTGCCAGCTCAGTCGGGCAAGCCGCCATCTTTGCGTCAGAGCCCGAGGACCCTGACTCGGTTTCACTCGGTTCGTCGCGGTACACATCCCGGCGGACCGGACATCCGGACGTGTCGGACATCTCGGGATCTCGCTCGCGCTGTACCGGAGCCGTTCCCCCCTCCTCCTTCTTGACGGGCGCCTTAATGGAAGAGCCTCATGTCAGTCAAGAACCAGCACCGGACAGGGTCCCTCTGCCCGTTTTCTCTAGGGCCCAAATGCGTCGGACTGTTAACCCTGTGCTATTTATTAAACCCGCTGCTCTTGGGACCTTTTTGAAACGGTGAGTGGCCCGGCGTTGGTCCAGGCCCAACCATCCCGATCAGAGGGTTTTCGGCGTCAGAGAGGGGACTAGTGCACAATATGTAGTAACAGTAACCGATTGACAATCTGAAAGGGGACGGAAAGGTCCTTCAGCCCTAATCGGGGTCTCAAGTCTTGGCTGAAAACTCTTTTGGGGTCTGGCAGTTGAAGGGAGGGGGCGGGGGGGGGGGTGGAGGGAGAAGGTCGAGGGGTCCAGGAACCCCCTGGGAAGAGCCCTTTTCGGAACCTTGAAGTCTCATAAATGACCATACTGAATGAGAAGAACAAAAATATTGCCTAATGAAAATTCTGACAATACCGTAGCAGCGTCTAGCAGTCCAAGAAGCCCTCGCTGGTAAAGTTGTAGACTTCATCTGGCCGCTCAGTCGGGACATAAGGTTAAGTCATGCATCAGATTTCGCGCCAGGTAGTGATCCAGAATCGGCCAAGACAAAGGGCCATTGTAGGTTAAGTCGATCGGATTTGTTATCGAAAATTAGCTTCAGTGCGTGTCCTTGTTCACTGGCGATAGTCTCATGGCAGGGCACTGCGAATACACCTTAAAATATACTTATGTCTCAAAAACGCTGCCACGCCAGATGCTCACATGCATCATATGTATTTTCCTGATTGACGGTGTCAAGTTATTTCAATGACTCTTTCGGTGAAAATGACACCACAGCGTGCAATTTTCTGTTTCTTGTAAATATTGTCTAGCCTCCGGAATAGCTAGCTGAATTATGATGACCAGAGTGACATAACGGGGAGAGCTTTGGCACCCACAGATCGGAGAGCAAAAGTGTGGATTCACGTAATGTTGCGCTCAGGAAATATGTGGCTGATGGTAATATCCCTTCTGCATGTGCGTTGTGTGTATGTTTGAGCAACCTATGCTCGCTGAAATGTTCTTAGCCAATCGCCATGATTCACCGTTTTGCATATCTCGGACCGATGGGGGGAGAGGGGGCTTGATACGACCCTCCCCCGGCGTTTCCAAGCTTATAAAGATAGAGCTTGCCGAGAACAGCAGTGTATTGTTCCGTACACGATCTCACGATTGGTACTAGTTTTTATGTTGTTTACAGGTCAAAGGTCGAATTTTACAGAACAACGCACTTTGTAGCTTTATTTTATGTTGACGAGAGCAAGCCTTGCAGTGACACGAACCTTAAATTGGCGTGTGTCTTGTTTCAATTCTGAGCACGTTTGCTAGCGCTGTTCCCTTGCCGCCCGCCGCTGAGCCAGCCATAGATCGCCGTCGAGTGCCCATCACAAACTGCCGCTGCTCCGAAGCCAGAAAATCTAGGAACACGTTTTGGTATCAAAACACGTGCCATAATCTGCGCCTATCATGGCGAGGGTCAAACGTCATGTTATTGCTGTGTTGGGTATCGGCAACGATTTTTCGTGAAACTGAACCCATGGCGGGCAAACAGGAAAAATTAATGTTTACTGTTCCATAACTATTTGATCCTAGCTTGACCTCACGCTGACCCCGTCCCAAAAGACAAAGTCCCTCGCAACAAGTTGTGCTCTGTCCATGGGCTGGCGCCGAACGGTTCCGATGCTCGCGAAACTTTTCCCGTCCAAGTAGCTTCAGGCACTCGCTATTTGCCCTTGACATGTATGGCCTGCGGTCGGTTGCAGCGGTCGCGCTAAAGGTCAGTGGGCGTCAGAAGGTAGGACGGACCGCACCAAACATTGCGGCGCGTTAAGCTTTCGACACAAAATTATGTCATTGCCTGGGATCGCGGGATCGGATGGTAGTGGTCAGTGCTCACACAACAAGCATTGCTCTTGCGAGCCCTGATCCCAGAAATCTATCCATTCAAAAGGTTCGGATAAAATCTTTGAAAAAACTTCAAGTGGCCCAAGGTAATGGAAACGCCAGCTAGGAGGTGGAATAGAACACTGAACTAAGGGGTGGTTTATTGGGTTAAAATGTCGCACACAAAAATTGGGTCCGCCCATGTTTCTTTTCTTGGCCGCCCAAGCACAGTGGACTTCCTTTACTAATCCTAAATTTGGGTAGCATATTCTAAATCAGATAATGGCGCAGTAGCGACAAAATAAGAGTTTTTGCTGGCGTTGATAAAAATAGGCCGTTTATCGTAATGTCGGATGTATTTTGTCACACGCCTGCTCCAAGTCAACTATATTTAAACCTGGTTTCTTGCTGCCAGAATTCAGCAAGTGTCTTCGTGATATCAAGCCTCTTGATATATATTTCCACAATCAGATGAAATTTGTTTAGAGCATTACCCATCGATGTCAAAAATGTGCAAGCTCATCATTTTCCGCTTTATTTGACCGACGAAACCATTGACCACCAGATTTTAACCTGAGAGCTTCTTGCAGTCTCCACCAGTCTTAAAAGCTTGTGTTTAGCCGTTGACTTGTGTGAGACTGTTGGTTGCTCAGATTTTGCTGCTTCCCATTGTAGTGAAAGGTTTTGTACACTGCTGTGGATGTCAGAATTATTGCCTGATTCAATATCAATTGCACCGATATTTTCCACCCTTGCTGCATATGTAGTGTGGTATGAAGGTGTTTATTTTCCTTTACTTTTATCTCAAAAGTGTAGAGTTGAAATTTTGGGGTTCATGTTTGTGTTATTTGAAATTGGCATTTGATATTGTATTTTACTATGCTTGTCCAAAATCCACATTTGTACTTTGTTTCAAGATTTCATAGGCGATCATGGTTGGGGCCATTTCCTCTGTCCAAAC